CTTGGTGAACTTGCGCACGGCGGTGAGCACCCATAGCCACCCCATAGAGCCCCATATCCACCCCATAGCACCCCATAGCGCCCCATAAGTGCCATACCCTCTGTAGGAAGACGTCCCTCTTGGTGAACTTGCGCACGGCGGTGAGCACCCATAGCCACCCCATAGAGCCCCATATCCACCCCATAGCACCCCATAGCGCCCCATAAGTGCCATACCCGCTGCAGGAAGACGTCCCTCTTGGTGAACTTGCGCACGGCGGTGAGCACCCATAGCCACCCCATAGAGCCCCATATCCACCCCACAGCCACTCCATCACCCCATAGCACCCCATAGCTGCCCCATAGTGCCCCATAGCGCCCCATAGCTGCGTACCCTCTGGAGGAAGACGTCCCTCTTGGTGAACTTGCGCACGGCGGTGAGCACCCATAGCCACCCCATAGAGCCCCATATCCACCCCATAGACACTCCATCACCCCATAGCCGCCCCACAGCGCCCCATAGCGCCCCATACCCTCTGTAGGAAGACGTCCCTCTTGGTGAACTTGCGCACGGCGGTGAGCACCCATAGCCACCCCATAGAGCCCCATATCCACCCCATAGCGCCCCATAGCGCCCCATACCCGCTGCAGGAAGACGTCCCTCTTGGTGAACTTGCGCACGGCGGTGAGCGTGTCCTGCACGATGCCCATGACGGGCCGGTTGGCCTGCGGGGTCACGATCATGCGCGGCACCATGGCGAGCTCCTGGATCTCCGCCCGCGTCTCCAGCGACTGCGGCAGGTGCAGGTTCATCTCGTCGCCGTCAAAGTCCGCGTTGTACGGGGTCGTCACGCTGCAAATGGGGGGGAATGAAGGGGGGTGTGGGGCTGGGGATGTGGGGCACGGGGTGTGGGGTATGGGGGTATGGGGCTGGGGATGTGGGGCTGGGGATGTGGGGTACAGGGTGTGGGGCAGGGGGTGTGGGGCTGGGGATGTGGGGTACAGGGTGTGGGTCAGGGGGTGTGGGGGTGTGGATGTGGGGCAGGGGGTATGGGGCAGGGGGTGGGGATGTGGGGTAGGGGAGGTGGGGCAGGGGGTATGGGGCAGGGGAGGTGGGGTAGGGGGTATGGGGCTGGGGATGTGGGGCAGGGGGTATGGGGCAGGGGGTGGGGATGTGGGGTAGGGGAGGTGGGGTAGGGGGTATGGGGCAGGGGGCATGGGGCTGGGGAGGTGGGGCAGGGGATGTGGGGTACAGGGTGTGGGGCAGGGGGTATGGGGCTGGGGAGGTGGGGTAGGGGGTATGGGGCTGGGGATGTGGGGCAGGGGGTATGGGGGTAGGGATGTGGGGCAGGGGAGGTGGGGCAGGGGAGGTGGGGCTGGGGGTACGGGGCTGGGGATGTGGGGCAGGCTATGGGTAGCAGCTATGGGTGACAGCTATGGGTGACGGGTATGGGTCCCCGCTATGGGTCGCCGCTATGGGTCAGGGCTATGGGTCAGGGCTATGGGTCAGGGCTACGGGTCAGAGCTATGGGTCCCCGCTATGGGTCAGGGCTATGGGTTGCAGCTATGGGTTGCGGCTATGGGTCACTGCTATGGGTCAGGGCCATGGGTCAGGGCCATGGGTCAGAGCCATGGGTCAGGGCCATGGGTCGCGGCTATGGGTCGCCACTATGGGTCAGGGCTATGGGTCAGGGCTATGGATCAGGGTTATGGGTCAGGGCTATGGGTCAGGGCTATGGGTCAGAGCCATGGGTCAGGGCTATGGGTCAGAGCCATGGGTCAGGGTTATGGGTCAGGGCCATGGGTCAGGGCTATGGGTCCCCGCTATGGGTCAGGGCTATGGGTCAGAGCTATGGGTCAGGGCCATGGGTCGCGGCTATGGGTCCCGGCTATGGGTCCCCGCTATGGGTCCCCGCTATGGGTCGCGGCCATGGGTCGCAGCCATGGGTCAGGGCTATGGGTCGCGGCTATGGGTCGCGGCTATGGGTCAGGGCTATGGGTCACAACTAAGAGTCAGAGCTATGGGTCGCGGCTATGGGTCGCGGCTATGGGTCAGAGCTATGGGTCAGAGCTATGGGTCGCGGCTATGGGTCAGAGCTATGGGTCGCGGCTATGGGTCAGAGCTATGGGTCAGAGCTATGGGTCAGAGCTATGGGTCACGGCTGTGGGTCGCGGCCGTGGGTCACGGCTATGGGTCAGGGCTATGGGTCAGAGCTATGGGTCAGGGCTATGGGTCAGGGCTATGGGTCGCGGCCATGGGTCAGAGCCATGGGTCAGAGCTATGGGTCACGGCTATGGGTCAGGGCTATGGGTCAGAGCCATGGGTCGCGGGTATGGGTCGCGGGTATGGGTCAGGGCCATGGGTCAGGGCTATGGGTCAGGGCCATGGGTCAGGGCTATGGGTCAGGGCCATGGGTCAGGGCTATGGGTCGCGGCTATGGGTCAGAGCCATGGGTCGCGGCTATGGGTCAGAGCCATGGGTCGCGGCTATGGGTCAGAGCCATGGGTCGTGGCTATGGGTCGCCGCTATGGGTCCTGGCTATGGGTCCCACCTGAGGTTGAGGCGGAAGGTGGACCAGGGCAGGATGCGCACGCGGTGCCCCATCATGGACATCTTGTGCAGCGTCGGCTGCCGGTTGAAGATGACGATGTCCCCGTCGCACATGTGCCGCTCCACCTGCAATATGGGGGGGGGGTCAAGGGTCAGCACCCCAAAACTGGGGGGGGAGGGGAGGGGGGGACCCCAAAATGGGGGCGCACCCCCCCGAGAATGGGGCTGGCCCCAAAAAACGGCGTCTTCCAGGGCCCGAAAAGCTGGGAATTGAACCCAAAAATGGCCCCAGAGCTGGGGGGGGCCTTGGTTGGGGTCCCCTCTGTGTTGGGGTGCCCCTATTTTGGGGTGCCCCTATTTTGGGGTCCCCTCCTTTATCGGGGTGCCCCTAATTCGGGGTCCCCCCTGTATTGGGGTGCCCCTAATTCGGGGTCCCAATGTATTGGGGTGCCCCTATTTTGGGGTGCCCCTATTTTGGGGTTCCCCCCGTATTGGGGTGCCCCTATTTCGGGGTCCCGATGTATTGGGGTGCCCCTATTTTGGGGTCCCCCCCGTATTGGGGTGCCCCTAATTCGGGGTCCCGATGTATTGGGGTGCCCCTATTTTGGGGTTCCCCCCCGTATTGGGGTGCCCCTATTTCGGGGTCCCCCCTGTATTGGGGTGCCCCTATTTCGGGGTGCCCCTATTTCGGGGTACCCCCTGTATTGGGGTCCCCCTGTATCGGGGTGCCTCTATTTCAGGGTCCCCCCTGTATTGGGGTGCCCCTATTTCGGGGTCCCCCCCGTATTGGGGTGCCCCTAATTCGGGGTCCCGATGTATTGGGGTGCCCCTATTTTGGGGTTCCCCCCCCGTATTGGGGTGCCCCTATTTCGGGGTCCCCCCTGTATCAGGGTCCTCCTAATTTGGGGTCCCCCCTGTATTGGGGTGCCCCTATTTTGGGGTCCCCTCTTTTGGGATCCCCCCTGTATCGGGGTGCCCCTATTTTGGGATCCCCCCTGTATTGGGATCCCCCCTGTATTGGGGTGCCCCTATTTTGGGGTCCCCATGCATTGGGATGCCCCTAGTTTGGGGTCCCCCCCTGTATTGGGGTGCCCCTATTTTGGGGTCCCCTCTTTTGGGGTCCCCCCTGTATCGGGGTGCCCCTATTTAGGGATCCCCCCTGTATTCGGGTCCCCCCTGTATTGGGGTGCCCCTAATTCGGGGTCCCCCCTGTATTGGGGTCTCCCGTATCGGGGTGCCCCTATTTCAGGGTCCCCCCCTGTATTGGGGTCTCCTGTATCGGGGTGCCCCTATTTCAGGGTCCCCCCTGTATTGGGGTGCCCCTGTATCGGGGTGCCTCTATTTCAGGTTCCCCCCTGTATTGGGGTGCCCCTACTTTGGGGTCCCCCCCCCGTATTGGGGTCCCCCCAATTCGGGGTCCCCATGTGTTGGGGTGCCCCTATTTTGGGGTCCCCCCCATATCGGGGTGCCCCTATTTCGGGGTCCCCCCTGCATTGGGGTCCCCCTGTATCGGTGTGCCCTGTTTTGGGGTCCCCCTGTATGGGGGTGCCCCTATTTCGGGGTCCCCCGTTTTGAGGTCCCCCTATATTGGGGTCCCCCCCGTTTTGGAGTCCCCCTGTATCAGGGTCCCCCCAGTCTCGGGGTCCCCTCTGCATTGGGGTCCCCCTGTATCAGGGTGCCCCCATTATGGATTCCCCCCTGTTTTGGGGTCTCCCTGTATTGGGGTTCCCCCTACATTGGGGTACCACCATATTGGAGTGCCCCATTCTGGGGTCCCCCCTGTTTTGGGGTCCCCCTGTACTGGGATGTGCCATTTCAGGGTCCCACTGTATTGGGGTGCCCCATCTTGGGGTTCCTCCTTTATTGGGGTCTCCCTTGTTTTGGGGTGCCCCCTTTTAGGGTCCCCTGTATTGGGGTCTCCCCGGTTTTAGGGTGTCCCCCCCGCATTGAGGTGCCCCATTTTAGGGTCCCCCTGTTTTGGGCTGCCCCGTTTTAGGGTCCCCGTGTATTGGGGTCCCCCCGGTTTTAGGGTGCCCCATTTTAGGGTCCCCGTTTTGGGGTCCCCCCTGTATTGGGGTCCCCCTATATTGAGGTCCCGCCTGGTTTGGGGTGCCCCATTTTAGGGTCACCCTGTTTTGGGCTGCCCCGTTTTAGGGTCCCCGTGTATTGGGGTCCCCCCGGTTTTAGGGTGCCCCATTTTAGGGTCCCCGTTTTGGGGTCCCCCCTGTATTGGGGTCCCCCTATATTGAGGTCCCGCCTGGTTTGGGGTGCCCCATTTTAGGGTCACCCTGTTTTATGGTGCCCCCCCTCTATTGGGGTCCCCCCTCTATTGGGGTCACCCTGTACTGAGGTCCCCCCTGCATTGAGGTGCCCCATTTTAGGGTCCCCTGGTATTGGGGTCCCCCTGGTATTGGGGTCCCCTGTATTGAGGTTCCCCTGTTTCGGGGTCCCCCCTGGGTTGGGGTGCCTCATTTTAGGGTCCCTGTGTATTGGGGTCCCCCCGGTTTTAGGGTCCCCCCCTGTATCGGGGTGCCCCATTTTAGGGTCCCCATGTATTGGGGTGCCCCATTTTGGGGTCCCCATGTATTGGGGTCCCCATGTATTGGGGTCCCCATGTATTAGGGTGCCCCATATTAGGGTCCCCCTGTATTGGGGTCCCCCCCCGTTTTGGGGTCCCCCGTATCGGGGTGCCCCTATTTCGGGGTCCCCCCTACATTGGGGTCCCCCTGTATCAGGGTGCCCCTAATTCAGGGTCCCCCTGCATTGGGGTCCCCCTGTATAGGGGTGCCCCCTTTTAGGACCCCCCTGTATTGGGGTCCCCCCAGTTTTAGGGTCCCTCTGTATTGGGGTGCCCCATTTTAGGGTGTACCCCATTTTAGGGACCCCCTGTATTGGGGTCCCCCCTGCACTGAGGTGCCCCATTTTAGGGTCCCCCTGTATTGGGGTCCCCCCTGCATTGAGGTGCCCCATTTTAGGGTCCCCTGGTATTGGGGTCCCCCTGTTTTATGGTTCCCCCCGTATTGGGGTCCCCCCTGCATTGAGAACCCTCTATTTTGGGGTCCCCCCCATATTGAGATCCCCCTGGTTTGGGGTGCCCCATTTTGGGGTGTCCCCCCCCGTTTTGGGGTCCCCCCCCGTTTTGGGGTCCCCCCCATATTGAGGACCCCCTATATTGGGGTGCCCCATTTTAGGGTCCCCTGGCATTGGGGTCCCCCGTTTTATGGCCCCCCCCATATTGGGGTCCCCCCTGCATTGAGGACCCTCTATTTTGGGGTCCCCCATGTATTGAGATCCCCTTGTTTTGGGGTTCCCCCCCCGTTTTAAGGTCCCCCCCCATATTGAGATCCCCCTGGTTTGGGGTGCCCCATTTTGGGGCCCCCCCCGTGTTTTGGGGTCCGTCCACCCCCCATTTTCGGGTCCCCCATGTATTGAGATCCCCCTGTATTGGGGTGCTCCATTTTGGGGTTCCCCCCCGTTTTGGGGTTCCCCCCCGTTTTGGGGTTCCCCCCCGTTTTGGGGTCCCCTCCATATTGAGGTCCCCCCTGATTTGGGGTGCCCCATTTTTGGGTTCCCCCCATTTTGGGGTCCCCCCCGTTTTGGGGTGTACCCCCCAGTTTTGAGGTCCGTCCCCCCCCGTTTTGGGCCCCCTCCATATTGAGATCCCCCTGTATTGGGATGCCCCATTTTGGGGTCCCCCCCGTTTTGGCGTGTACCCCCCCGTTTTGGGGTGTACCCCCCCGTTTTGAGGACCCCCTGTATTGGGGTGCCCCATTTTGGGGTGCCCCATTTTGGGGTGCCCCTGTTTTATGGTTCCCCCTGTATTGGGGTCCCCCCTGCATTGAGGACCCTCTATTTTGGGGTCCCCCCCATGTATTGAGATCTCCTTGTTTTGGGGTCCCCCATGTATTGAGATCCCCTTGTTTTGGGGTCCCCCCCATGTATTGAGATGCCCTTGTTTTGGGGTCCCCCATGTATTGAGATCCCCTTGTTTTGGGGTCCCCCCCATGTATTGAGATCCCCTTGTTTTGGGGTCCCCCCCATGTATTGAGATCCCCTTGTTTTGGGGTCCCGCATGTATTGAGATCCCCGTGGTTTGGGGTCCCCCCCATGTACTGAGATCCCCTTGTTTTGGGGTCCCCCATGTATTGAGATGCCCTTGTTTTGGGGTCCCCCATGTATTGAGATCCCCTTGTTTTGGGGTCCCCCATGTACTGAGATCCCCTTGTTTTGGGGTCCCCCCCATGTACTGAGATCCCCTTGTTTTGGGGTCCCCCATGTACTGAGATCCCCTTGTTTTGGGGTCCCCCCCATGTACTGAGATCCCCTTGTTTTGGGGTCCCCCCCATGTATTGAGATCCCCTTGTTTTGGGGTCCCCCCCATGTATTGAGATCCCCGTGGTTTGGGGTGTCCCCCCCCGTTTTGGGGTACCTTGTATCCTGTCTGCAGGTGCAGGTCGCTGGGCTTGGGGTGGAAGCGGAGGTCGATGCGGTCCCCGTTGTCCCTGATGATGTACTTGGCGCCCGGGTACTGGCTGTTCCCGCGACGAACCAGCTCCTGCAGCCTGCGGAGCCCGCGCTCGCACCACAAAGCACAACAAAAACAACCCCAAAACACCCCAAAAACAACCCCAAAACAACCAAAAAACAACCCCCAAAGCAACCCAAAAAACAACCCCCAAAACACCCCCAAAAAACAACCCCCAAAACAACCAAAAAACACCCAAAAAACACCCCCAAAACACCCAAAAAACACCCCCAAAACACAAAAAAAAATCCCAAAACAACCCAAAAAACAACCCCAAAAACACACCAAAAAAAAAACAAAACAACCCAAAAAACAACCCCCCAAAACACCGCCAAAACAACCCAAAAAACAACCCCCAAAACACCCCCAAAACAACAAAAAAAACCCCCAAAACACCCAAAAAACACCCCCAAAACATAGCAAAAACACCCCCAAAACACAAAAAACACCCCAAAAACACCCAAAAACCCCCAAAACATCCCCCAAAACAACCCAAAACACCCCAAAACAGCCCCAAAACAGCGAAAACCACCCCAAAACAGCCAAGAACAGCCAAAAAACAGCCAAAACCACCCCACAACCAGCCAAAACCACCCCAAAACCAAGCTAAAACCAGCCAAAAACACCCCCAAAACACCCAAAACCCGACAAAAACAGCCAAAAACACCCCCAAAACACGCCAAAAAAAACGAAAACAGCCCAAAACCAGAAAAAAAACACCCGAAAAACAACTCCAAAACAACCCAAAACCAACCAAAACCAGCCCCCAAACAGCCAGAAAACAGCCAAAACACCCCAAAACAAACCCGGAACAGCCAAAACCAGCCAAAAATGCCCCAAAACCAGCCAAAACCACCCCCAAAACAGCCAAAACCAGCCCCCAAAAATGCAAAAAACTAGCCAAACACACCCCCAAAACACCCCAAAACCAACCGAAAACACCCAAGAAACAACCCAAAACACCCCCAAAACAACCCAAAACAGCCCCAAAACAGCCAAAAAAACCAAGAAACAGCACAAAAAACCCCAAAACCACCCCAAAACAACCCAAACCAGCCAAAACCAACGCAAAAAAACAAAACCAGCCCCAAAACAGCCAAAACCGGCATCAAAAACAGCCAAAACCACCCCAAAGCACAGGCAAAAACAACCCAAAACCACCCCAAAACACCCAAAAACCAGCCAAAACCACCCCAAAACCAGCAGAAACCAGCCAAAACCAACACAAAACCAGCCAAAAACACCGCAAAACCAGCCAAAACCAGCCAAAAACACCCCCAAAACACACAAAAATCAAAACCAACCCAAAACCAGCCAAAACACCCCCCAAAACAGCCAAAATCACCCCAAAACAGCCAAAAACCACCCCAAAACCAGCTAGAAACACGCCAAAACCGCCAAAAACACCCCCTAAACAGCCAGAAACACCCAAAACCCAAAACACCCCAAAACATCCAGAAACACCCAAAACCACACCAAAAACCAACCCCAAACACCCCAACAGTCGTGAAACCAACCCCAAACCAGCCCCAAAACCGCCAAAAACACCCCCTAAACAGACAGAAACACCTCAAGCCAACTCAAAACACCCCAAAACAGCCAGAAACACCCAAAACCACGCCAAAAACCAACCCCAAACACCCCAAAACAGCCAAAACCAGCTCCAAAACAGCCAAAAACAGCCCCGAAACCAACCCAAAACACTCCAAAAACACCCCAAAACACCCCAAACTCCAAAACACCCCCAAAACATCCCAAAACCATCCAAAATTACCCCCAAATTACCCTAAAACCACTCCAAAACCACGCTAAACCCCCCCAAACACCCAGCAATACACCAAAACCACCCCAAACACCTCAAACACCCCAAAACCTGCTCCAGACACCGTAAACCAGCCCCAAATCCCCCCTGTTCCCAACCCATCCATGTCAAAGGGGTGACGGCCTTGGCTAAGGTCACGCTGACAGCAATGGTGGGGGATCACCTCCGCCATAACCCCCCAAAACCACCCTAAATCACTCCAAAACCACCATAACTCACCCCAAAACCACCCTAAATCATCCAAAAAACACCCTAAATCACTCCAAAACCACCATAACTCACCCCAAAAACACCCTAAATCATCCAAAACCCACCCTAAATCAACCCAAACCCCCCAAATCATCCAAAAACCACCCTAAATCACCCTAAAACACCCTAAATCATCTGAAAACCACTCTAAATCACCCCAAAACCAGACTAAATCACTCCAAAACCACCCCAAAACTACTCTAAATCATCCAAAAACCACCCTGAATCACCCCAAAACCACCCTGAATCACCTCCAAAACACCCTGATTCACCCCAAAACCACACTAACTCAGCCCAAACCCCTCTAAATCACCCCAAAACACCCTAAATCACCCCAAAACCACCCTAAATCACCCCCAAAACACACTGAATCACCCCAAAACCACACTAAATCTCCCCAAAACCACCCTAAAGCGTCCGAAAAACACCCTAAATCACCCCAAAACCACCCTAAATCACCTGTAAACCACCCTAACTCACCCCCAAAACCCCTAAATCACCCCAAAGCCACCCTAAACCACCCCAAAACCACCCTCAATCACCCCAAACCCCACCCTGAAAGGGGTGACGATCTCAATGAAGGTCAAGTTGGCGGCGATGGAATGGATCTACCTCATCCACAACCCATCCTAACACCCCAAATCACCTCAAATCACCCCAAAACCACCCTAAATCACCTCAAATCACGCCAAAACCACCCTAAATCACCCCAAATCACCCTCAATCACCCCAAACCCCAACCTGTCACTGTTGAAGGGGATGATGATCTCAATGAAGGTCAAGTTGGCGGCGATGGAATGGATCTACCTCATCCGTAACCCACCATAACACCCCAAATCACCCCAAAACCACCCTAAATCACCCTAAATCACCCCCAAACCACCCTCAATCACCCCAAACCCCAACCTGTCAATGTTGAAGGGGGTGACGATCTCAATGAAGCTCAAGTTGGCGGCGACGGAATGGATCTACCTCATCCACAACCCATCCTAACACCCCAAATCACCCCAAAACCACCCTAAATCACCTCAAAATCACCCCCAAAACACCCTAAATCACCTCAAATCACGCCGAAACCACCCCAAAATGACCCCAAACCCCAACCTGTCAATGTTGAAGGGGGTGACGATCTCAATGAAGGTCAAGTCGGCGGCGATGGAATGGATCTACCTCATCCACAACCCATCCTAACACCCCAAATCACCCCAAAACCACCCTAAATCACCTCAAAATCACCCCCAAAACACCCTAAATCACCCCCAAAACACCCTGAATCACCCCAACTGTTGATGTTGAAGGGGATGACGATCTCAATGAAGGTCAAGTTGGCAGCGACGGAATGGATCTACCTCATCCGTAACGCATCATAACACCCCAAATCACCCCAAAACACCCCAAAACACCCCAAAAAGACCCCGAACCCCAACCTGTCGATGTTGAAGGGGATGACGATCTCAACGAAGGTCAAGTTGGCGGCGACTGAATGGATCTACCTCATCCATAACCCACCATAACACCCCAAATAACCCCCAAACCACCCTAAATCACCCCCAAAACACCCCAAATCACCCCCAAAACACCCCAAACTGACCCCAAACCCCAACCTGTCAATGTTGAAGGGGGTGACGATCTCAATGAAGGTCAAGTTGGCGGCGACGGAATGGATCTACCTCTTCCGTAACCCACCACAACACCCCAAATCACCCCCAAAGCACCCCAAAAAGACGCCGAATCACCCCCAAACCACCCCAAACAGACCCCAAGCCCCAACCTGTCAATGTTGAAGGGGGTGACGATCTCAACGAAGCTCAAGTTGGCGGCGACGGAATGGATCTACCTCATCCGTAACACATCATAACACCCCAAATCACCCCCAAAACACCCCAAAACCACCCCAAAAAGACCCCAATCCCCAACCTGTCGATGTTGAAGGGGGTGACGACCCCAATGAAGGTCATGTTGGCGGCGACGGAATGGATCTACCTCTTCCGTAACCCACCACAACACCCCAAATCACCCCCAAAACACCCCAAAAAGACCCCGAACCCCAACCTGTCGATGTTGAAGGGGGTGACGATCTCGGCGAAGGTCATGTTGGCGGCGATGGAGCGGGGCACCCCCACTTGGTCGATGGCCAGGTTGGGGTCGGGGGTGATGACCGTGCGGGCGCTGAAGTCCACGCGCTTGCCCATGAGGTTGCCCCGCACGCGGCCCTCCTTGCCCTTCAGCCGCTGCTTCAGGGACTTGAGGGGACGGCCCGACTTCTGCATGGCCTGGGGGGGGAGAAATGGGGGTTATGGGGGGGAATGGGGGTTATGGAGGGGGAAATGGGGGTTATGGGGGGGAAATGGGGGTTATGGAGGGGGAAATGGGGGTTATGGGGGGGAAATGAGGGTTATAAGGGGAGAAATGGGGGTTACGGAGGGGGAAATGGGGGTTATGGAGGGGGGAAATGGGGGTTATGGGGGGGAAATGGGGGTTATTGGGGGGAAATGGGGGTTATGGGGGGAGAAATGGGTGTTATAAGGGGAGATGGGGGTTATGGGGGGAGAAATGGGTGTTATAAGGGGAGAAATGGGGGTTATGGGGGGGAAATGGGGGTTATGGAGGGGGAAATGGGGGTTATGGGGGGGAAATGGGGGTTATGGAGGGGGAAATGGGGGTTATGGGGGGGAAATGGGGGTTATGGGGGGGAAATGGGGGTTATGGGGGGGAAATGGGGGTTATGGAGGGGGAAATGGGGGTTATGGAGGGAATGGGGATTATAGGGGGAGAAATGGGGGTTATGGGGGGAGAAATGGGGATTATGGGGGGAATGGGGGAAAAATAGGTTCGGGGGAAATGGGGGTTATAGGGAGAAAATGGGGGTTATAGGGAGAAAATGGGGGTTATGGGGGGGAGAAATGGAGGTTATGGGGGTTACAGGGGGAAAAATAGGTTCCGGGGGGGGAAATGGGGGTTATAAGGGGAGAAATGGGGGTTATGGGGGGGAAATGGGGTTATGGGGGGGAAATGGGGGTTATAGGGGGAGAAATGGGGGGGAAATGGGGCTTATAGGGGGAGAAATGGGGGTTAGAGGGGAGAAATAGGGGTTATTGGGGGAAAATGGGGGTAATGGGGGGGAAATGGGGGTTAGAGGAGGGGAAATGGGGTTTAGAGGGGGAAATTGTGGTTAGAGGGGGAGAAATGGGGGGGAATGGGGGTTATGGGGGGGAATGGGGGTTATGGGGGAAAATGGGGGTTATGGGGGAGAAACGGGGGTTCAGGGAGCCTGATACCCCAAAACCACCCTGGGATCAGGCACTGGGGGAGGGATTCAATGGACCATCAACGGGGCCATCAATCAACTCCCTGCCCAGCCTGGCCCCCATGGGTCTCCTCCTGTTCCCTTGTGCTGCCTCCCAGTGCCATGGCTGCCCCTCCAGCACCCATGGGTGCCCCCCTGACCCCTTTATCTCCCCCTAGCCCCACAGACCTGGGGCTGTTCAGCACCAAGACCCTGGTGCAGGTCCCATCTCTGTCACCCATCACCCACCTCCATCACCCATAACCCATCTCCATCACCCATCTCCATCTCCATAACCCACCTCCATCACCCATCACCCATCTCCCATCTCCGTCACCCATCACCCATCTCCGTCACCCATCACCCATCTTCGTCACCCATCTCCATCACCCATCTCCGTCACCCATCACCCATCTTCGTCACCCATCTCCATCACCAACCACCCACCTCCATCTCCGTCACCCATCACCCATCTCCATCACCATCACCCATCTCCATCTCCATCTCCATCTCCATCTCCATCTCCATCTCCATCTCCATCTCCATCTCCATCTCCATCCCCCATCCCCATCACCCACCACCCATCTCCATCTCCAATCTCCATCTCCAATCTCCATCTCCAATCTCCATCTCCAATCTCCATCTCCAATCTCCATCTCCAATCTCCATCTCCAATCTCCATCTCCAATCTCCATCTCCAATCTCCATCTCCAATCTCCATCTCCAATCTCCATCTCCAATCTCCATCTCCAATCTCCATCTCCAATCTCCATCTCCGTCACCCATCTCCGTCACCCATCTCCGTCACCCATCTCCGTCACCCATCTCCGTCACCCATCTCCGTCACCCATCTCCGTCACCCATCTCCGTCACCCATCTCCGTCACCCATCTCCGTCACCCATCTCTACCTCCGTCACCCACCACCCATCTCCATCACCCATCTCCATAACCCATGCCCCATGCCCCATCTCCACCCCCGTCCCCCCCGGCTCACCCGGGGCAGGCCGGGCAGCTCGTTGTCCACCATGGTGGCCACGTGGAACTGGAGCAGTTTGACGTCCTCGGCGATGACGTGCGCGGCCGCCCCGTTCTGCTCGTTGCGCCGCAGTTGGTTGTTGATCTTCACGATGTCGGCCAGCTTGTGGGTCAGGTCGTCCTATGGGGGGGGGGGGGGGGGGGGGGAAGGGTCAGTGGGGGCCCCCATTGACTTTGGGGACCCCAAGAATCAATGTAGGGGAGGCCAAGGGCAATGTGGGGACACCAGAGTCAATGGGGGGGCACCAAAGTCAATGGGGGGGGGGCACCAAAGTCAACGTGGAGGATCCCAAAGTCAACGGGGGGGGGGTACCAAAGTCAATGGGAGACCCAAAGCCAATGAGGGGGGCACCAAAATCAACGGGGGGGCACCAAAGTCAATGAAGGAACATATAGTCAATGGGGGGACACCAGAGACAATGGGGGGGCACCTAAGTCAATGGGGGGGGCACCAAAGTCAACATGGAGGATCCCAAAGTCAATGGGTGGGGCACCAAAGTCAACAGGGGGGGGCACCAAAGTCAAAAGGGGGGGGCACCAAAGTCAATGTGGAGGGCCACAAAGTCAATGGGGGGGCACCAAAATCAATGGGGGGGACACCAAAGTCAATGGGGGGGCACCAAAGTCAATGAAGGGACATATAGTCAATGGGGGGACACCAAAGTCAATGAGGGGGCACCAAAGTCAATGGTGGGGGCACCAAAGTCGACGGGGGGACACCAAAGTCAACGGGGGGGGCACCAAAATCAATGGGGGGGCACCAAAGTCAATGGGGGGGGCACCAAAGTCAATGGGGGAGCACCAAAGTCAATGACGTGACCCAATACCATCTGTGACCCCCTAAAGACATCTATGACCCCCTAAAGCCCTCTATGACCCCCCTAAGGGCATCTATAACCCCCCTAAGGGCATCTATAACCCCCCTAAAGCCCTCTGTGACCACTTAGAGGTGTCCATCACCCCCCCTGAAGGTATCTATGACCCCCCCAAAGCTATCTATGACCCTCCGAAAACAACCTATGATGAACCTAAAGGTGTTTATGACCCCCCTAAATCAATCTATGACCCCCAAAGGTATCTATGACCCCCCTAAGGCCACCTGTGACCCACTTATAGGTATTTATCACTCCCCTAAAGGTGTCTATGACCCCCTAAAGACATCGATGACCCCCCTAAAGCTCTCTATGACACCCTTAAAGGTGTCTATCACTCCCCCTAAAGGTATCTCTGACCCCCCTAAAGCCATCTCTGACCCCACTAAAGGTATCTCTGACCCCCTTAAAGGTATCTATGACACCTGTAAAGATGTCTATCACTCCCCCAAAGGTATCTCTGACCCCCTAAAGCCCTCTATGCCCCCCCTAAAGCCATGTCTGACCCCCTAAAGCCCTCTATGCCCCCCCTAAAGCCATCTCTGACCCCCAAAAGGTATCTCTGATCCCCTAAAGGCATCTATGACTCCCCTAAAGGCATCTGTGACCCACTAAAGGCATCTATGACCCCCCTAAAGCCATCTGTGACCCCCCAAAGGTATCTATGACCCCCTTAAAGCTATCTATGACCCCCTAAAGGTATCTATGCTCCCCCAAAGCCATCTCTGACCCCCCTAAAGGTATCTCTGACCCCCAAAAGGTAACTATGACTCCCCTAAAGGCATCTGTGACCCCCTAAAGGTATCTATGACCCCCCTAAAGGTACCGATGACCCCCCAAAGCTATCTCTGACCCCCTTAAAGGTATCTATGACACCCATGAACGTGTCTATCACTCCCCCAAAGGTATCTCTGACCCACCCAAAGCCATCTCTGACCCCCTTAAAGGTACCTATGCCCCCCCTAAAGCCATCTCTGACCCCCCTAAAGGTATCTCTGACCCCCTAAAGGCATCCATGAACCCCCTAAAGGCATCCATGACCCCCCTAAAGGTATCTCTGACCCCCCTAAAGCCATCTCTGACCCCCCTAAAGGTATCTATGACCCCCCTAAAGGTATCTATGCCCCCTCTAAAGGTATCTATGCCCCCCCTAAAGCCATCTCTGACCCCCCTAAAGGCATCCATGACCCCCTAAAGCCACCTCTGACCCCTCTAAAGCCATCTCTGACCCCCTTAAAGGTATCTCTGATCCCCTAAAGCCATCTCTGACCCCCCTAAAACCATCCCTGACGCCCCCAAAGCCACCCGTGACCCCCCCCCACCGTGTGCTGACCTGGTTGCGCGCCGAGCCCTGCATGACGACGGCGGGGCGTACAGCGAGGGGGGGCATGGGCAGGACGGCGCCCAGGGAACCCCAAAACCCCTTCAGGACCCCCCTAAAGCCAACTATGACCCCCCCTAAAGCTCTCTATGACACCCTTAAAGTGTCTATCACTCCCCCTAAAGGTATCTATGACCCCCTAAAGCCCTCTATGACCCCCCTAAAGGTATCTCTGACCCCCCTAAAGCTATCTATGAGCCCCCAAAGGTATCTATGACCCCCTAAAGGTATCTCTGATCCCCTAAAGGCATCTATGACTCGCCTAAAGGCATCTGTGACCCCCCTAAAGGCATCTGTGACCCCCCAAAAGGTATCTATGACCCCCTAAAGCCCTCTGTGATCCCCCTAAAGGTATCTCTGACCCCCTAAAGCTATCTATGACCCCCCTAAAGCCATCTCTGACCCCCCTAAAGGCATCCATGACCCCCTAAAGCCACCTCTGACCCCTCTAAAGCCATCTCTGACCCCCTTAAAGGTATCTATGCCCCCCCTAAAGCTATCTCTGACCCCCCTAAAACCATCTCTGACCCCCCTAAAGGCATCCATGACCCCCCTAAAGGCATCCATGACCCCCCTAAAGGTATCCATGACCCCCCTAAAGGTATCTATGCCCCCTCTAAAGGTATCTATGCCCCCCCTAAAGCCATCTCTGACCCCCTTAAAGGTATCTATGCCCCCCTAAAGCCATCTATGACCCCCCTAAAGCCATCTCTGACCCCCTAAAGCCATCTCTGACCCCCCTAAAGCCATCTCTGACCCCCCTAAAGCCATCTCTGACCCCCCTAAAGGTATCTATGACCCCCCTAAAGGTATCTATGACCCCCCTAAAGGTATCTATGCACCCCCTAAAGCCATCAATGACCCCCCTAAAGCCACCCATGACCCCCCCCCACCGTGTGCTGACCTGGTTGCGCGCCGAGCCCTGCATGACGACGGCGGGGCGCACGGCGAGGGGCGGCACGGGCAGGACGGTGCAGACCATCCACTCGGGGCGGGCGAACTTGGGGTCCATGCCCAGGACGAAGCATTCGTCGTCGGAGATGCGTTTGAAGACCTCGTGCACGCGCTCGGGGCTGAGCAGGATCTTCTTCTCCTGCGAGTCCTCGTTCACGTGCTTCCACTCGGCGTAGAGCTCCAGCCCCGAGCGGCGGATGCGGGGTTGGTAGCGGCCGCAGCCACCGTGGCCCTGGGTGGTGGGGGGAAAGGAAGGGAATGGGGGGTTAAATGGGGTAAAGAGGGGGTAAATGGGGGTTAAATGGGGTAAATAGGGGGTTAAATGGGGTAAATAGGGGGTTAAATGGGGTAAATGGGGGTTAAATGGGGTGAATGGGGGGTTAAATGGGGTAAATGGGGGTTAAATGGGGTAAATAGGGGGTTAAATGGGGTAAATAGGGGGTTAAATGGGGTAAATAGGGGGTAAATGGGGGTTAAATGGGGTAAATAGGGGGTTAAATGGGGTAAATAGGGG